TCACGTATATAACGAAACACACCATGAAATTTCCGGCAAGAATTAAAACACCACACACATATTAACAATATTTTAATACTTCACTCGTAAACACGTGAAAATTATCGAAATATAGCACACGTCGGATAAAAGGTTGTTTTCAACATGGCCGCCACAAAACTCGGCTATTTCACAAGGATTTGTTGACCCTGGCTCTTAAACAATTTCTATTGGTCGCTAGAACGCGGTTTACACTCTCATTGGTTTAATTCAAGGTTATGGGCAAAACATCGACATGCACCTGTCTACAACAAAATAGATTTTAAAATAAGTATTTTAAGATTAATAGTGAGGTACACTATTTTTTACGTATATTAACGCCATATGACTTCAGTCTACAGACTATAACGTCTGTAGAATGTAGATAAATATTACTTTTGTATTAAAAACTATCTCCTTATGCTTAAAGATTATATTTAAGATTCACGCTTTAACCGCCCTCTACGACACGATGGACAAACTTTTTCTCAGGAGGTTGGAAACCCGCGAACTTTAAATGATTACCCATTATTGAAAGAATTCCACTGATATAAAAGTAATTAAAACTACAACATTTATCACTCACCTTTCTGCCTCAGACGTACTGTCGCCCGTGAAATATAAATGTGTGGTACTGAATGGTTCCATATAATAAACAAACGGCAAAAATTTATATGCAACTTTATAATAAATTTGAATTAAAAAAAAACTAAATTATTTCAATTTCTATGTGAAATATCTTGAGAATAACGATTTTTTGAAATGGTATTATTCCTCAATATTTTCTCAAAGAACGCAAGGAGAAATGTGTTGGACTAACCGAACGGAGACTCCCAAATCTCATGCGCTCCTTTGCTTGACAACAAAGTTGCCAGGCAACCAGCAACGCGTCACTATCAATTTCAATAGAACATTTATTTGTATACCCAAGAGCCTCAATGAAGAGCGGCATTTTCATTAAATTATACTTCATAATTTCAATGGAATTATCTGATTCTCTGAAAAAAATATGAATGGAATAAAATAATTAGATATCTAATAATAAAATTAATAAGGCAGATGAAACTAGGTGGAGATTAAAAGTAAATTTATTAGGTAGCAACAGTACAGGTCCGGACCGGGACATTTTTAAACAAAAAATTTTAAAATATTTCATAAAATGTTTGTTGCTTTTTAGAAGAATACAAAAAAAGAAAAAAATAAATAAATAACCATCCTCTAATTAGAAAACTTTAAATTTAAATATTTTCCGGCATGAGCATTATTTTATTCAGACACATATTTTCTCAATAGATCTTTTCAAATAACACTGGCAATTTTATAGAACAAAATTTGTAAACATTATAAATATTTTAGTGAGATATCGTTTTTAATTTAAATAACCGGAACGGTTATGTGTCCGCCACTAAAATCAATTTCCACCTCCAATAGATGTTTGTATTTTTACCAAAATGTACCGGTTTATATTTTTGTTATTTGATACAAGTTTCGTCTAGAAAAAAGTAAAAATTGTTTTCTTTTGGTAAATGTACTAAAACTTATTTGTTGTTCTTGTATCTAACTCCAAAGACAAGACTCCTAACTGCTAATATTGCAGTACTTTATGGGCTATACACCTCAACTATAGTTACACCACTCTTAACTAGGTATTAACCTAGAAAACAGCTTGTTATAAAAAATTATACAAAATAAAAACTAAAAATAATATGTAAATACAATTAATTAAAATAACTCATACCATATTAAAATTGTTAAACAATGCAATCATTCTAAGAAATATCCTGTATTCTTGCTGTTCATTGCCACCCTTGACAAAGACGAATCTCTAAAAAAACAGCTCTTTATCTTTCCACATTTTACTTGGGATTGTTTCATCAGGCAGCTTCTCTTCATATAGCAGTGTAAAATCTATAAAGTAGTTGTTTCCCACAATATCAGTAGTTAGTAGTCTTGTCTCTGAGGTTAGACATTTTTTAACATACCTAGATTGATCTTTTACTTTACTAGATACCGAAGAACATTATTTGATGAGATTTTTGAACAAATATGTTTTTTTTAATTTGGACTAGCCAATCCCTTTAAAAGAGAGTAAAAAGAATGTGAGAACTAATAATAAAAATATACGTTTTTTGTAAGTAATTGAAGAAGAGAAGAAGGACATTTTTAAATACCTACTTTATTCCTTTATTCTTATGTATAAAGGAAAGGTTCATGACACTATTCACCTTGATTTTCAATTTCTTTATCCATTTTTGCCTAAAAATAAGAATCATCAATCAATTCTATTCATATAACTTTAATAACAGTGACGGAAACAAAAATTTAGTTTACGTTCTATTTAAAAACAATACATCAACTGAACAAGTAACATCAGTAAGCATTAGTAAAACGCCTCTACGCTTGAGTTATAAAATCTGTTGCCGTTTTATTTCATGTAATGAAAAAAATATATAGTTGTAATCAGTTGTTTGTCAAAGTTACACAAACGAATTGCAATAATGAAAAGTGTCCAGTTACAAATTGTATAAACACTGAACTGTCTCCCATGCACCATATCCATCAATCCAACTCCATCTATGAACCGAAGAACAAATTCACCGAATATTCCCAATTATTCAATTGGTCATTTCAATTCTAATGCACTCAGCATTTTTTTAAGTAGGTATTAAACGATTGAAACTCTGTGAACGTCAGCCAGTCTTGGTCAATTACTTCATTATCTGCCAAAACAATGCCCTAGAAAGCCCTGTGCCCACCCCTAATAAAAACGATCCAATAATATCTCTTTGGTCAGATAAGCCGGATAAGATAAGCCCGATAAGACAACCCATTCTGGAAAAATGTAATTAGTATCTACCTTATGGCCTTACTGAGCCTTTGTTTAAAATAACGATATTATATAATGTAGATATATTTGAAGAGTTCAAGTACAGATTTGTGTAGTACGTTGTGCACAAAATATATTACGTAGTACATGCATGACTAAATTATCTATGTACTTATTATTTAGAACAGGCCATCCAACAATTTAAACAAACCAATTATAGGATCAGAAAGTACAATGTATGTGAAAACAATAACACTAAATACTAAAAAATATTAAAAAAAAATAAATAAAACAGAATATTATCTTTCACATTTTTGTTTATTCGTAACATGGGTGAATTAAATACAAGTTTTATTTCATTACTTCAACGATAATCATAAAAACAAAATAGTGGTAATTATAAAAATAAAATAATGAATTTCTTTCATAATAAAGTATAGTACGATCAACTAAAATACACGAGTCCAGCAGTTTCCATTGTCCAGTTCAGTTCATATGTTCCAAAGCAAACTAGTCCAGGCAGACTCAAGATCGTTAAAGTAGTTCAGACTCATTTAGTACTCCTCCAGTTCCTATCGCAAACAATAAACTGCACTGGACTGCAGGGCCGGATTAACCTATGGTGGGGCCAGGGGCTACAAGCTCTACACAGGCCCTCTTTCTAAAACGATATTAAATTTCAAAACCTAAGCAGGTTTTTCTCTGATTCGAAAAAAAAAGGTCACGTAATCAGGCAATTTGTCGATATAAAATTTCAAAACCTAAACACTTTTTGGTTTGTTTCTAAAAAAAAAAAATTGTCAGATCTTGCTGAGGCCCCCCGATCTCATGAGGCCTGGGCTACAGCCCCTGTAGTCCCCCCTACCCTCCCTAAACCGGCCCTGCTGGACTGACAATGAATACTAAGACTGGAACTTATCCAAAAAATTCTCTAGCCAGTGGTGTACATGGTCTATCCTTAAAGTAGTCGGACTTAGTCAATTACAAAACAATTATTGACAGAAATAATACATGTGCTCAATATTCTTCAAAGTAGGACCCTTCTGCATTCACACAACGCTGCCAGCGGGATTTCCAACTCTCATAGGTTTCCTGGAAGGCGGCAGCCGAAATGCTGTTGAGCTCCCTTGTCACGGCCTGTTTTAACGTTTCCACCTAGCCGTGATGGTGTCCTTTCAGGGCGGTTTTGAGGCAGGGGAAGAGGAAAAAGTCTGGTGGGGCAATGTCGGGACTGTAGGGTGGCTGAGGCAGGGTTGCGATGTTGTGTTGAGCCAGGTACTCCGCCACACGGAAGACTGTGTGGCTCGGCGCATTGTCGTGATGGAGTCGCCAGCAGTTGGCGATGGCTGGGCAGACGCGGACGATACGTCTTCTCAGCCGTTCAACGACCTTCACGTAAAAAACTGCATTAACGGTTTGTCCTTGTGGCACAAATTCCCTGTGGATTACTCCTTTTGAATTGAAAAAGCATATGAGCATGCTTTTCTGCTTCAACTTGCTCATGCGTGCCTTTCTCTGGAGTGGAGACGTTGAACTTCCTCTCTCCCCTCACGAAACACCTTGTGCCAGTCGAAAACACTCGATCTACCCATGGCGTTATCACCGTAAGCCGTCTTGATCATATCATGAGTCTCTTTTCCGGTTTTGCTGAGCTTAACGCAAAATTTGATGGCGTAGCGCTGTTTCAAAAGATGAGCCATGACGCAGCGTGACGAGGACATTTGCAGAGGTTATGGAGACGAGCGATCTACACTCCACTATGGCTGGGAGCTGACTGCCAATGGCTTTCAGCCTTTCCTTAGACTAACTACTTTAGGGACAGACCATGTACATAGGGACTACAAGTAATTTCGTGTTATTTTTTTTTATAAAAGAAATGCTGATGGATTTCTTTTTATTAATAAGTTTCCCGTATGGAAAAGACTTACTTTGTAATTAAAGAAAATTCTGTGTATCCCAGAATGCTTAATTAAACGAATTCACGAAGGTTATTTTTTGCAGTGCAATAGCAATATTTCATTGTGGTTTTTCTATCATGCCAGTTTATGTTTTCATGGCATTTTATGCATTTAAAAAAAACACTTTATCGAAGAAAATAACTTTATTTTTGTAAAAATAAAAACAGTTTTATAAAATTCTAGAAAGAATTCTCGTCATATTTTTACAAAGTTGACTCAAAAAATATTTAATTAAAACAACAAATTATATCAGTCATGGTTTTCCAATTACATTAAACAGCTACACTAAAAGTCCATTTAAAGAAGGCGATAAAAAGAAAACCTCTTAAAATACAATTACAATTTTTTTTTTTAAATAAAATTGTTACTATTTACAATTATCTACAGGGAATAAAATACATAAATAATCTTGCCTACAAAGATCACATCGACTATACATTATCCAAACGTTACATTAAGAGTTTTTAAGGACATGGGTTCAATGTAAACGTCACTCAAACTTTGTAGGTTGTATAAAGTCTCTACACCAGTCAAAGATTTCAAATCTATGTCCTTAACGTTAATAAATTCAAAACTAATGTCTTTTTCAAACTTATGTACATCACACGTATAATTGCTGTTCACCGCACAGTCGTAACCCTGTCGGTGTAAAACCATTAAAGCACTGGACGAAGGGAACTGGGAGTAAACGGTGTCAGGCTGCGTTCGGAGTGTTAGCAAATGAACATCACAAGGCAATGGCTTGTTCACGAGTTTAAACGATTTATTAACGTTATCCCGATGTTCAGGATCTACTATGAAAATGCCTGCGGGGTAATTCAACAAATTTGACAAATGATTGGCATACAAAGAGGGACGGGAAAACGATTCTTGCTTAACAGATTCCACTGGCTCAGTTGGTATGTTGAACGACCTTACTACATCTCCCTTTTCGAAAGTGTCATCCGAATTCTCAAAACGTTTCTGCTGTGCCGTGTTCTCAGTCTTAGCCTGCGATATATCTTCAATCAACAACCAATACTTGGTGACTGTTTTACGGTTATCGACGAGTCCCTCACCCATGCCACGGGAGTCATCATACAACGTTCTTCTGTCTAACATGACCTCCAAGAAACCAGGTTGCCAGCTAGCTGCACCTTGAGCGTGGTTGGTTAACAGATTTAGCCTTACACTACCATCTTGTATGTAAGCCATTGATGTGATGGGGAAATAATTGCCTTCTAATCCAATTCTCTCTACCTTAACCCTCTTCTGCATGTTAAATCCATTCATGTCCGAATAAAACTCTGGGGGTTCGCCATTTTGCACATCTGAAATAATTCTCATGAATAATTCAGTTTCTCTATTTTTGGGGGGATTTTCAAAATCGATCGTGTTTTCTATAGATATCGCATTCGTTAAGGTGGAGTTCTCAATAAGATAAATAGTCACGGTATGCATTAGGAAAGGCCCATAAACAACGGCAAGCTCTGTGGAAACCGGACCAGTGGTTATCATAATAGACTTTTGGTCTTTGTACTGCTGCAACACGTCTTTTTCATAGTCTCTTTCGTTAGGATCGGGCATAAACAGATATGCACCGGAATGAAACTGTGCACTTCGGTAGGCTGCAAACTGTATCCCACACTGCATGATTTTAGGTTTGTGTTTTCTCGTCACAGTTTTCATAAAGCCAGTATTTCCATTGAAGAGTAACTTGAGTCTATTATTCTCCAACTGGATATCACCGGACGGTATATCTTTAATGCTAAATGTTGATTTTAAAACATCTGGTTTCACGTCATTCTGGCCATTTAGAATGGTCGTCTTCTTCTGGCACTTTTTACAGTAAATAACTGCCAATTTGTCACTGTTTGCTGTAGTATACACCAACTGAAAGCTTGTAACCGACAACTCTGGCAGTTTTGCGATAAACAAAACTTCAAACTCGTCTGCTGCAATCCATAGCTTCGTAGTTTGGGTCATATCCCAAACCGGATTAATCTGGTAAACAATGTCGTTCCCTTCGCTGTCTGTCACTTTAACGTTGCTGGTATTTACTCTAAGTTGTACTACATGTTCCTGTGGATGAGACAGTGAATTGTACACTAAAATTTTCCTCGTCTGATTCGCTCCAATAGGTCCTACTTGAATAGGCGTTTTATGCGGCAATTTTTCATAAGATTCTCTTTCAATATCACTGAGAACTAGGTTCTGGTCGGGTTTAATTGGAATGTTGGGGAAAATTAGACTTTGCAAGGCATTTTGTTGTATGTTCACGGTATCCCGAATGCCCTCAAATAACTTGAGACCATAGTCTCTCATTACAAACGACTTACTGGTGCCGGTGATGGCATCATGGTGTTGAAATAGGCCTAGATTCCTTCTAGCTGTAATAAGCTTCTCAAAATCTCTTTCTAGTATTTTTGAATAGGACGTCAATTTATTCTGTTTGGCGTTATTTAAAGCTACTGTGTATAAAATCTCAGCGCTACGTAGAGAATTCTCTAATTCCCTATCTAACAATTTCATAAAAGGTCTAGTAGTGAAATATCCCGACCAATATGCTGGCCTTCCCTCAGCAAAAATGTCGGAATAAACGAAGAAGTCGCCTTTCAAGGTTGGATATTGGTTATACCGTTTCATTATCTCCTGGAAATACACAGAAGGAGTTCCAAAGACAACTTCAGCTTTGTACAGGTCCTTATGAGCGTTAATATAATCAATCAGTTTGATATAATTTGTGTATTGTTGGTCCCATTCTTCTTTTACGTTATACCTAAAGTCATCACCTAGGGGCATAAGAACAGTGTTATGTGGGAACAAAGATCCAGTCCTGGCATACTGCTCCAACAATAGTTCCGATTTTTCCTTGATATTCTTATCAGTTATGGTCTGCGCTTTCAGGGAATATTCGGTATATTCACCTTGAACCTTCCTAAAATCGAAGTTCAAGCAGATGTAAGGATGTGGGCCACAACTGTGCTTGATGGAGTAAATGTCGAACGGTTGGTTGTGGGTAAGGATCGTGGCATATGGGTCGGACGGACTCCAGCTGGGGACCCACTGGAAATCTCCGTACTGCTTCAAGGCCAGCCACTGCTTCCAGGCATAGTGTATCCTCTGGATTACAGTACCTTTTAAGCCAGACGCTGCTAGAAGGTAAGGTACTGTGCTGCCATGACCGAAAGGGTCCACGGACCATCCGGATGTTGGTTTTATGCCGAGGTTGGTCTTTATCCATTGATGACCTGCAATAAAAACTACCATGAAACATCGCCTTAGATGAAATAACCATTAAATCATTTGATACTATAAGTTTAAAAATTAAATTTGTATTTTTTTACATTTTTAGACACGGACAAATTTTATTTTGCACAAATTAACTTCAAGCATAGCATAGCAAAAAATTATTATCTTTAAAATTTCATTACCCCAAGAAGCAGAAATAGTTTTACTTAAAATTGCCCAAGAGATCATATAAAAAAACAACTATGCCATTTTGATAAATATGTTCCAAATACTCAAAGATACAAGATTATTTATTTATTTATCACATTTATTTATTTATAACATTTAAAAAGTTAAAGAGCAAAATAGAGAAGACTAGTTGCAAAACTATTTTTTAGTAATATTGAAAGTCCTTTTTATTATGATGTGCATATTCAAAAACTTAAACTTAAAGTTTTAAATCCGTGACACTGCAAACCGAAACATACAGACCTGCAAATAACGCCATTTTTCTCAAAATGGCTTCCTGTAGACGATTTTCGCAAGAGACATTATATTTTTTTTAATAAAACGACCATTTCCATGTTGCTGCCCATTTAAAAAAAATACGACCACTGTAAAAGTTTTGACCGCTAAAAGGGAGAGGTAACCGGAGAAAACTATCACCCATCATCGATTTGACTAAGAAATAATACGCCATAATAGTCCAGAAATGTGCCAAATTTTAACGCGATCGGTAAAAGGGTTATGACGTTATTAATTAAATTAGTTGTTTGACAACGTTGAAGGCCTGTAACTCAAAAACCAAAAAGTTTTTATTTAATTTTTTTTTCGTAGATCGTATTTATTTATCGCTGTGAATATACAGTCAAGCGTTGTCGGTGAAATTTGCGGACACACTGTATTTGTAAAATAACACAATTGCAAAAAAGTATCACCCTGTAGATTTTTTCGAAGAGTAATTCAGGTTTTTATGTACTACAAGCCAGTATTACATTATATAGTACACGCAGTAATTATTATTTGACTATTATCAACGGATAAACAAGTAAACAAACCTTCATAATTACGGAAGTGTACAATTACAGTCAATTTCTGCCCGAAATAATTACACCTGAATTAAATCAAATAACTAAAATACTTTATTAAATCACTGTACTGGAATCGTTTTAAAAAACATACCTACATTTCCCAAACATTTCACGTTCGTTGAGGCGAAAATATTCCCCAAAACAATTTAGATTTCTGATTTAGAAATTTAATTAAGCATTAAGTCCAGTACTTTAGCATCATTTACAAATAAATTATCGCGATAATTCATCTGCGATAAAGTGGATTAACAGCGCCGCTATGTTCGTGCAACGTAAAACATCATTTTAATCAAATCGAAATTGTCTTCCAGAAAATACATTAACGGGGCAAGTTGGAAATTCATTCGAAGCACGGCATCTTTTCTGTTGTATCGTCCTGGGCTTAAAAAAGAACGAAATGTGTGAGCCTCGGTGTGAGGCCCAGGCCCGGATCCAGAGACTGGTTTTGGGGGTGGCGCAAAGCACTTCTTTCAGAGGAGCTTGACACTAATGAATCCTTCTACTTGCATTAATATCGACTAACTGCCTGTTGTCGTTTGGAGAAATTGAAGATCTTTAAAAAATGTTGTGCTTTGGGGGTGGCGATCGCCACATCGCCACCCCCTCTGGATCCGGGCCTGGTGTGAGCCCGTCTGAAAAATATACTTAATAGTCCAGTAAATATAGAGTTGGACGCGACTTTTTGTTCCGGCAAGCTGAATTTATCACTATAGATGCTAAAAATTATGTACAATAATATATTAGTTTCCACAGTCATAAAAATGGGGGGAAGTATTTTTTACAGGGTGGTTAATTGTATAATTTTTACGTAAATTCACGTTTTTCGCTTATAACTTTTTTCCATTCACATCCACGAGAAAACAGTAAAGTACTTTTTTTACGTATTGAAAAGACCTATAAAACTAGCCCTCGAGCGTCAAAAAATATTGATTAGATCAAAAGTTATAAACAGAAGAAGTTTATTTATGACTTTTGAATTAAACATTTATAAACTGCGTTATTATTACCAGAAAGTTTTGGTATCGTATCCTCTCATTCCTTATCACTGTCTAATAACTCACACGCCTTATAAACAAATTAACTAATTATTAGTCTGGACGATCCCGAGGATATTCCACAATCGCACTGATTTTTTTCAAGGCAGATTTCATAATAATACGTTAAAATCTATAATTTTTTTTTAATTTCAAATTTGCAACCTAAATTTTATTTTTATCTTTTAGCCTTAGTTGCAAAATGAAATATACGACGCACGGGCGTGATATTAGTCGAGGCAATGAAGTACTAAAAAGGCCAAAAGTTAGGAATTTTTTGCACTAAGACGGATCTGAATGCGGTTTTTTGCATTCACTTCCAAAAATTTTTTGTAAAAAATTTATCTACTTTGTATCTTATACAAACCGGAAATTACATTGCTGCAGCCAAAAATGCATTCAAAAAATGCATTTTTTGAGACGCTTTTGGAAGATTTAATAACTTTGTAAATAAAAGTCACAACTGGCCCAAATCGGGTTCCCGGGGGTTTTCGCGGTCGCTGATCACGATTATGATGTTCAAATTGACCCACAGCCGACCTGGAGCTCAGGAACGCCGATGAACATCATCTCCGCGGGGCTCTCCCAAAATTCACACGGGGAAGGAGAGAAACTCGGCGCCAGGGGGTTTTTTGGGTCGCTAAATTCAAATATGGCATCTGCAAACACCTGGTGCACCGGAACCTGGACGTGGACGTCATCTCCGAGAGTTTTCCTAACAAGGCTTCATTGCCTCGACTATATAGTTATATATTATTACAGCGGCTAGCGGACAATTTTTTTCACTCACGAAAAAAACGGCACTTTCAACTCTCGGTAAAATATAAAAGGTATTACCCTGATTCGAATGAGGTCCCAATTTTAAATGTTTTTTTCTCGGAAACGGTAAATGTTAATGGAGTTGAAAAAAGAACCTATTTGTAAGATTTTTTCAATAATCTTTATTACCTTTATGAAAAACTGCAAATAAAAAATTGTGAGTTTTTAGTCCGTTTGGAGTCACTTCAGAACACGAAATTCAGTGGTAAAAACCCAATATTTTCTCATTAACATCTACATTTATTAAGTTTTTCATGCGCTATATTCATATTTTTTTTATAAAAAAAATATATAAATTAAGAAACTGTATACAGAATAGGACACTCTATTAACGAATATTAAATGGATTCTCATACGGCTTTAAACAATCTATAAATTACACATTAAATGTTAATATTTGTTTACCAAATTTTATGGGAATTTTTTAACCCCCACAGACAAATCCAAACCTACGTATCGCTGTCACATCGAGAAACCCAAATTACGAGAGGTAGAATGGGCATAGCTGCGTTTAATATTCGCTATAAACTCTTTAGTTTTATGCAACTTATGCCTTTTTTTAATATATGTGCGAAATTTTATGTATTCAAAAGTGAGGTCTGACAGATATTCAAAAAATATGTCTAAAAATCAAGATTGGAATATAACAGTCTCCTCTTTTCATTAAAGATCATCTGCCAAATTATTTGTAAATACATACAAGGGACATTTAGTACGTCTGTCACCCTAATTTATTGTATTTTTTCTCATATATCCATGATATAAGCTACAGAAGTAGTTACACTGCGTATGTTTTAACCTTTATTGAAAATAGGGCTTCACTTTTAGTAATTTTCATTTTTTATTTAATTTTTTATTTCTGCCAAATTGAAGAAGTTTTGAATAAATAACTCCTTGCTCCAAAATAATCAATTATGAAAATAAATTTTATACATTCAACTACAAATAAATAAAAAATGCTGTTAAATAATGATTACAGTCGAGATTTTATATGACTATTTTTTCCAACTATTTATTATCTGTTACATTTATTGAGGATGATCTAATATCTGGACACATTATTTTATAAGATTACAGATACAATACAAATATTTGCACTTTCTGCTATATCATTATTAACATTTATATTTTTATTAGTGTTCACTATGACCGCAGTTAATAATGGGACATTCTTAATATATTGACGCAAAATATAATCAAGAAGTGCAAATCTGCTATTTTTTTTCAACATAAATTGTTGTTACGAAGACATGAGTACAGGGAACATCTGCTGGTTTCTAGTAGCACGTGTGTTGTTAAATTAAATGTAACTTAAGTTTGGTGACCATATACCCAATAAAATGTTCCGAATGAAGCAAAATTTAAAGGAGTACAAGATCTGATAGATAATGCATTTAAACGTATACTGTCTTGTTTTTGTAAGCAAATTACATAAATATAATCGTGAGAAATAAATTATATTGTTAATATTCCTGTTGCACTAGTTCTAATTTATACTCCATAATAATTTAAGTAAGCAATTCCATAAACAGGAATTTCAATCCCTAAGCTCAGAAATTGCAATCACGATATTCACATAAATCTAAGGAAATATCATTCAATAAACGCACATGTTTTCTTAATAGCCGTGGGACTTTTCTTTGGGGATATACATTGAAATTATTATCTATTTACAGATAGTAATTTAAATACAATGTTCAAGCTGATTGCTTTGGTAATCAATTTACTTTAATTTGATTAAAAATAAGCAACACTATTAATTGTTATTCATATACATTTGTATAATTTTAACCATATTTATTGTTTGGTTTTGTCATTTTGGACCTAATTATACTAATTGTAAACATTTCATTTCGTATATAACTATATAGAAACGGGCTTATCAGTTTTTTTATGTTTAATTGTAAAATTTGTGGTTTAGTGTTAAACTAGCGATTCTAATTGTTACAAAATGAAAAAAGATTTATTTTAAATTAAGACAATTTATGCTCTTTCAACGGCAGGTATGTATAGCCGTTCATAATCACTGTGACCATTTCAAAATTCGTGTGTTTGTACATTCTGATTTGGAAATACTTAAGTAATTACTTGGAATCAATTTGAACCGGATACATTTTTCACTGTCCAGTTGTGTTTTACTTTCATTGTTTACTGATTTGTAACTATGCGCACTTACAATTTTCTACTTTGCTTCTTGCATTTGTACATAATACTGGACTTACTGAAGTAAAACAATAATCTGGTTTAATACAAGTAACTCTTTTAACACTTCTTTGTGGTTTGACAGAAAAATAATTTAGTACCGACTGTGTACTTAACCGTTTTTTCCAAGGTTTTTAATAATAAGGAAAGTAGGTACTGCAATGCAAGAGCAAATTACAGTTATCGGTTTGTTTTTTCTTATTTGCTTTGAAGTCGGATGAGAAGAGGTTTTACACAATAACTGAAAATATTGTATTTTAGACCTTTGTGGTTCTAATGTTCTCGTGATTTTCGTGAATTCTTCATGAAGTTCGGAAGTACCAACAAAAATATTGAGGTTAAGTTATTTGTTTACATATTTAAAATGTATTCATGTTTAGTTTATCTTAATTTGCTATAACTTGTATGCAGAGTTGGTAATAGCTGTTTTTGTTTGAAAGAAATTCAAGAAGTTTAAAATAATGTAAAACCAAACCATTTATGAATAAATTGATGAATTAATTCATGACAAACTTCGGGAAATAAATTCGCAATGTAAATTAGATATTAGAAGACTAGCTGAGAACCCCTCACTTCACTCTGGTATTGACGCTTAACATAATTTGTCTATTTAGGCCAGGAAATATAGAGAGTATGTGATAATATATAACTATATCACGCTCGTGCGTCGTATATTTCATTTTGTAGCTAAGGCTAAAAAATAAAAAAAAAATCCAGGTTGCAAATTTGAAATATAACAAAAAATTATAGATTTCAATGTTTTATTATGAAATCTACAATGAAAAAAATCAGCGCGATTGTGGAAGATGCTCGGGATCGTCCAGACTAATAATAATTAGTTAATTTGTTTATAAGGCCATAACTTGAAAACTATTGAACTTACCGATTCCAGATTTCATGTGAGTTATTAGACAGTGATAAGGAATGAGAGGATGCGATGCCAAAGCGTTCTAGTAATAATAACGCAGTTTATAAATGTTTAATTACTTCTTCTGTTTATAACTTTTGACATAATCAATATTTTTTGACGCTCGAGGGCTAGTTTTGTAGGTCTTTTGAAGACGAAAAAAACTACTTTACTGTTTTCTCGTGGATAAGCGAAAAACGTGAAATTACGTAAAAATTATACAATTAACCATCCTGTAAACAATCTTCCCCCATTTTTATGACTGTGGAATATGTTATTGTACATAATATTTAGCATCTATAGTGATAAATTCAGCTTGCCGAAACAAAAAGTCGCGAAATAGTAATTTCCCAGCTTATTTTTCCTGGCCTATATTCTGAACGAGAGAACTACGCTGCGTTGCTGGTGTTATACAAAAGTTTTCAATATATGTTATACATATTTTTATATAAAATGGGAGGAAAAAATAAATAATTTTAAAATAATTAATTAAATACTTGCCACCGCTATACGGTTTTCGGCAATATATTAGTCGCACTCTAAACTTAATGTTCAATTAAGGAGCAAACATGAAAAACGTCTTAAATCCGTTTTAATCTTTATTGCAATAAATCGAATAGATTCTAACTTTATGTTCGGATTTAAGCGGCTGTGCTGGATTTCCTAGTTTTAGAGTAAATTTAATTGAATTTAACGGAGATAGCTTGATTCTGAAGTCACTACAATAGTAAATTAAAATTTAAAACTATTTGCTCGATTTTAACTGCATATGTCTATTTAAGCCACTTTGCTTGATTTGACAGATATTGGCATACATTTTTTTATTGGATTTAACAGATTTAGGCTTGATTCTGAATTCACTAAAGGATTAATTAATATCTAAAATAATAAACAATTATAAAGTTAAACTATATTAAGAAACGATTTAACATATTTTGCATGCTTGCTCCTCAATTAATTAATTATGAATAATAATTATTATTCACCTGATTTTAGAGACAAGCGTTGCGGTTTGCGGTAAATCTATATTCATTTCATTGTTCTGCAGTTAAAAGTTATATCTTTACTATATCTATGTATTATGTTACCCAGAAAAGTGTCCACATTAGTATTTTCAATTGTCAGTGAGTGTACTTATAAGATTGAATTGTGTACCTACATACCATTGTGCATGAGAAGGTTATAATAACTTTAGAGTAACAGGTTGTTGACTAAACGTATTTTGTAGTAATTAACTGTACACTAAAACAGTTAGTTACTACAAATTAAAATTTTCCAATAATTAGATAAGGCTGTTTTCTCATATTTTTTATTTTTTTTTGTGTGTAATTTAAAGAGTGAGTTTTAACTTTCTGCACTTAATACCGACAAAATTGTTGTTTACTTTTTGTCTTTCATTACACACCACGATCTTTCCATTCAAAAGTCAAGTGAAATTCGCTGGTGTAATGACGGACTACCGGACTATTCCGCCCACCTACCCACCTTCAATCAGTTGATCCACCATGGCGTAGAGGTGCACGTTAGCTTCGTCAGTCATCACCCATCCTCCGGTGGTGATCTCCAACCTGCCCGACTGCACCAGGTCCCTCAGCGCCCTTTGCTTGCTTGGATGGGCCTCCTCCCACCAGGCGTTCAGGAACGATATTTCCGACCAAATAAATGTCAGGTTCTTGTACTGCTGCAGCTTAGCAACCATGTTGTTCATGATCTGTCGCGAAGAAGAGTGGAAATAGTTCTCGAAGGTCTTCAGCCAGCCGGGATCGTTGTGGGAATGGGGCACGATGATGACCTGCAATAAAAACGGAAGGTTAGAAATCCCATTTTGTTAAACAGAATACTATGAATTTGAAATAACGTTTCCTAGAAATTAAATTGACCAATTATGTGTATATTTCAAAAATGAATAATTGTTTTGAACTCTAGCTTTGTTTAACGTAACCTATAGTACGATCATATTCGATGCAAAGTAATAAATCATTGCCTGTCAAGGGAACCAATGAAGTACGCCTTTAAGGGTTTTACAAATTGAATAATTTCTTTATACATTATGAAGGGAAGAGGGGGATCAGTTCAGGTCTGGCATCCTTGTTGCTACAAAAATTCCTTTATTCTCATAAACTATTTATTTTAAATGTAATTTATTATAAATTCAATTTGTGTCCTAAATTCCACATATGTACTACATTTTACTTCTGTACGCGCCACTGTTGTTTACTTGTTTTTTGGAAGCGCTCTCTAATTGACGGCAAAGCTCGCCAGGTTAGTATTTGACGTATAACCGACCAGTTCGTACACTCGATGCACCTGGGCGACTACAGCTACTACCAGAACACAGTGCGTATGCAGCGGTATTTCAGATTTTACATTGAATTTCATTTTAAATTTGAAATGATTTATCTTACGCCTCCTAAAAATGATGACACGATTTTTCTTTGATAAAAGGCCGACAATTTTTTGCTCTACTTTGCATATAGTATTTTTATTGAAAAATACAAATGATCAACACTACAATATAAAACAGGTTTTATCTATTTTAGAAATTGATACAATTATATACCTATAACATATAATTCGCGATGTAAATGAGTCATGTGAGCCATTTTTCAAAATTTATTAAATCTATCCATCTACGCGTATATTTTAAGGATCGCTGCGTACATGGAAAATAGTTTGCCAAGTCATGTGTCAAGAAAATTATTCAAAATAAGACCTCGACCTTTTAGCTTCATACCGCAGGTTAACTCGGACTAACGGATTAATTTAAAAAAAGTGATCCAGTTATAATCATATTCCAAATTTTAACTTCATAATAAAGAAAACCCTGGTCAATTGAAAAATGAATTACACAAGGAAGTATGTGCTATTTAAATAGCGGCAGCATCTGTTAAATTTAACAAATTATTGAAAAATAAGACACTTAAATAATTACAACATAAGAATTATAAGGAAATGAGGAGTCCATGAACATTTTTCTTTCTATTTCACATAAAAAGTTCAAGTTTAAGAAACATTTAAGATTCGAGTTGTATTATAGCAATAATCGAAGTAACAATAGAAGACAATCCATTAAATTACACATTACTTCAAGTATGTACTTATATTTTTCAACAGACAACATTTATTTCCTACATAAGATATCCGATGAATGCGACAAATAAATATCCTTGGAAAAATGTTCTTTTCATTTCCTTGCTATTGAATAATTTTTCTTTTCAGATGTAACTGAAAGCCTGTGAGCAGCAATGGATGCTTGAGTGAGGCTGCATTTGTGTGAAATATTTTCCAGACAGTCTAATGTTCCCCTACTTTTAATATTTTTTGGTATGGTCTTGTTCTGACACGAAGAACTCCACTGAAATTATTCTCCAAGAAATTTAGAATTTATAAGATAATTTTGTAGTACATAAAGAACTTTTTACAATACGAAACTCAAATCACAAAGAGTTACACAAATAAATTTACGCTTAAAAAATTAACTAACCACAATATTTTGAAAGATAAGTTCATAAATGTTTTTAAAATCCCAGAACAATTTATGCAGTTAATTAAAGTGTTAATAATTAAGTATACTGCATAAATATTAATCACTGTCTACATTTTTCCGTACCTAGATCGAATGATAATGCTCGACATTGTAAAAAAAAATATTTCAAATACGGAAACTAACTTATCTCCATAATCTCATATCGGCTAAATCAGGAAGTTAACAACTGTAGCGTGATGAAAACAAAGCAATATACAGGGTATATTGTTTTCTATTGATTCATCAAATCTGTGGATGAGGAAATTTTATATTTTGTGATTCTTATTCAAACAAACTAAACCAAAAGTAACGATTTTCCCTAAAATTATATTTAGACACTGAAAATACTTTTTTTAATAATTTCATCATTGAAGACGCAACTTTCGAATTCAGCATAGCGTGCTTTCTTTATACGTAAAATTAGAACAAAAATTAAACAGTGGTGACGGAGATGGAGGGGCCTGGATTAAATATATTCATCTGATTACCATTGATTCAAATAAATATGAATCTGTACAAAAACGCTTACAAACTAAACTTACGATTTTTTAAATGGTATATCCTGTATATCATTACATATTTGAATAGGGTGTATTTTTTCAGGACTACGATGATATCAGGTTTGAAGAATTTCCCTCAAATTATAAGAAAGATGTGACCATATCTTAACTAACCTAACCTTATATGACATGGGTCTAAAATTCAACCATTTCCGAGAAAAAAAATTTCAAAATCTCCAACTTGGTGTACAAAAGTTCGATTAATTAAGGAATAAAATACAATGTTTACCACTTTATTCAAAAAAATAATTAGGGTTGTAATAAATTTAACATTCGATAAAATTTATATCGAGCAATGTGACAACGGCACGTGGTATTAAGGTGTCCAGCAACCAACAATACGCAATTCAGTTGGTATCTGGATTCAACCGTGTCGGAGTGTTTTTTGCGTAGGTACTACTATTACCTTTTCTTGAGGTGTTTTCCAGCGAGTGCGCGAAGATTGGATTCGAAAGTGTTGTGCGTGCATCGAAAATGATGGTGGACATTTTGAGCTTATGTTGGTTATTTTTAATACGTATGATTATTTATTTTTCAAATAAGTACATACGTAATTTTATTTATTTAAAAACTGGAAAACAATTGTCATGAAATTTACTAAATGTTTCACAAAAATAGTTGTTTACATTTTTTCCGTAGGACAAATCTGCCACGTGCACACGTTGTGTGCATCAGCAGGTTAAGCGCTGTTGTCACGTTGTGATGAAACTCCCCAATATTAACACTCGCTATATTTTGAAAACCGTTAAACTTACGCCCCTGTAATATACAACTTTTCTATTCATTTATGATTACTCTCTCTCTCATGCTGAAGTAATGGCAGTCAAACTTCTTACATCCTGTATGAAGCGTTAAAACACATCCAGCTTTGTTACTGTTTAAACTGTACCATGTAAAAATTTAATATCAACACAAAATACTTCTATTTGCTAGCTACAACTTTCTTATTTAGTATTTTTTTTACTGAAAAATCAGAAAATTAAGGTAGGATGACATTTTTAACTAATAACAATAATGCGGTTTTGCACCACTTAGTAAAAATCAATATTTCTTCGAAAATAATGCATTTTACGCATAAGAAAAAATAGTTTGCAGGAAAATGTGAGCAGATTCTAAATACAATATTTTTTTCATTCTCGTCAGTGGCGTTCAGTTTATTTACAAAAGGTAACATATAATGTCATTTGTACCTACGCCACTGGATTTTGCAATTCCACTGAAACTATACCATAAGAGATGAAGTTTTATGCAAGTATATTATCCCACAAAAAATTTAAATTCGCCATTTGCATTATTTATTTGCACTATACATTATTCACAAGTTTGTGTTAGGCGAAATTATTCTCATAGCTTTATTTTAAATGATAGGCAACCAGATTTACACAGCCGTGTGGCCAATTACGTTTTGTGCAAAAGGAAATGACAGATTAAATAAAAGAAAAACTGATATCCATTAAAAACAATAGCGTACCAGCTAAATTTAATATTAAAACCATTCCAACTGTACTTTTTAACACAGAAAATCCAAAACAATGGGAAATCTGATACAAAATAAATATATTTCGACCCGTCAAGCTTTTCCATTTCGAGAAATTTAAAATATCCATCAGTAGAAAATGTAACATTGAGGTAAAATAAATGGGTTCAGTTGCAGCAAGAAGAATGCGGTAAAGGCTCTAAATAAAACTAGACTGTGGTAATCCGTAACCTTGCTTGCAGTGTAAGAATACCCATTACAAAATGAGATTATATATTCTAGAGCTTCACAGTCGTGGCAGTGTTACTCACGGCTACAACAAGCAATGCGCATTAGATTAGAAGAGCAGCAGAGAACCTGAAATATACTCAAATAAATTAGATTTGTCTCTGGACAATGAACATGCATTAGTTTAGGCCCCACTGATTCTTTGTTGGCTTTGAAACTATGTATGTGTTAGTGCTAATCCATATAAGTTAAGTCCATGTTTAGGTTTCATTAAGCGTAAATGTAAAAGGAAATACAACAAAAGTAGAATCCAATTTAAAACATATAAGAACTTGTTCAAAAACATTTCTCTAGCGTAACTGCGTTTTAGTCATTGTTGTGTAACCTTCAGGTACAATTGTATTATATGTAAAGAAATATTACAGATGTAAGAAAAGCCATGATAATACAAATATAACACATAGCTGAGAGTGACAACCATCGGAAATTGGCAATGACCTACAGTTGCAACATTATGGCGTGTACAAGGTGTCTTATATTTACTGAGACGAACTTTAATGGAAGATGTATATTCAGCCAGCTATTTTAATTTAACTCGTCAACATCAACCGTTTTTGTCCCAGATTATTACTAGTAACGAAAAATACAATAATCACACGATCACAATAAACACTACTCAAATCTGTGCACAGTGAATATTACCTTGTACTATCTAGTAAAATATTTCACTATTGACGTATTCCGTCTCTCACTATAAGATCGCTGAAGCATGTTTATTCTCCATCTCTATATTAGTAGGCAGTAGACAGTAAAGTCATAAATAAATCGCACAATTGTTGCTATTTCTTAATTTGATTCTGTCTCAGTTTCCAGGTAACACGTGTTAGTGCGTGGCATAAGCGTACAAGTGCAAAATATGCCTCACATTATTATTATAAAGTAATTATTCCATAATTAGGACTGGAATCGTGTGCGGGTGTTAGTGGCCAATCTGATAATCA